GCACATACTAAAACTATAAATAAAAAATATAAAATAGAGTATTTTTAAATGTTAGGTAAGAGATTAAAGATAAAATATTGTAATAGTTTGAATAAAGTTAATATTTTATAATAAGTATTCTGCCCCTTAATTTATTTTAATCGTTTATCTTATTTACTTTTTATAATTATATTACTAGTATTTATATTCCTATATTATCAATCGTAATCTTCCAATTATATATTTTTTATTTGCTATTTATGTTGCTTAGATTAATCTTAATATAACTTTTATACACGTTATTATGTATATAACGTATACACATAACTTATACTACCTATAAAGATTTTTGTTAAAGTATTATTATATATTTATTAATGATTAAAAATACATTTGTTGATATATTCCTTAATACATTAAAATAAATATAAATTATAACTTAACAATACTTTAAGTATTGCCTAATATACAACTTAACATTTATTATCAATACATATAATTTAGGATACATAACTAAAACATTCAACTAATAAATTAAAATTAATAGTAGAAATGTATTACAATCAATATACCCACAAACTATTTGAGGGTTGAAGATGTGTAGTGATAAATAGTAAATAAAGTTAAAGTATATCATAAAAGCTTTATTATTATATAATAACTTATAAAAAAATTAAGATTTTATCTTATACACAATAGATTATTTATGTTGTTATAAATTTTGTTACTCTTAACCATTTTTCATCTATTTACACCTTGATATAGATCATTTTTTATTTCCATTTCATTATTTTATTTATATTTTACTCAAATTAATTTCATATTATTTACTAATATTTATATTATTCTATTTTAGTTAATATTTATCTATTTGAAATATAAGTTATGCTATTATTCACTTTGTTATTCCTACAATCTATTTATTAATGTTATTATAAATATTTTAGTAGTATAAATTATATATTTTTATTTATTATTTATCTACCTTCCTTTCTCTATTATCCTAAATTTCACCTTCTTTATTTACTTATTCTCTCATTTCTTACTTATCTTAC